ATGCTGGATCGCCCGGTGACGACTCCTGTCTGCTACTCTGCTTCACGGAGGCCTACATATTATCTATTCTGATGCTTGGATGTGTCATGCTCAAGCATATTGATCACGGTCCTCCATATACTGAAAAGCATGCAAATATACACACGTGTGTACGCAAAGCTTACAAAATTCAAAGGGAGTTACGTCTGCAGGTTGGCCGCGTCGACGTGAGGAGCCTGGCGACACGGATGTCAGCGGGTACCAGCCCCCGACGCGGAGCTGGACGACGTCGCTCGGGACGAGGTCCCCGACCTGAGTTTGTGGGGAGCAAGGCGGCATCTCACGGCACGTTAGCGTTGTGGGATCGTTACTTCGTTAGAGTGTTCATGGCACTTTATCTCCTTTGTGTGCAGAAGAATATTACTGCTTTCCCTTTCAGACATCCACTTCTTCAGATGAGGGAGTCAGGACATTCAGATATCTATACTTCTTCAAAGTTTTATGCCGGTAACTAAGAAAGCACTACTCTGTTATATATATTGAGCTACCGCTCTTATTGTATAATGATGGCTACAGTTATATGTAATCATGTGAACTTATTTTTGATAGGTATTTGAACCAGATTTTGCATCAAACCTATTTTTTTAAGGGGTACTTAAACCAGATTTTGCACAAAACCTATTTTGGTGTTCTTTGGGCTATCACATATCGTGACGTATATGCACAGACAGCATGTCCAGTTTGATGTTTAGTGGAAAGTATGTTCTTTGTAGTATTATCGAACCTGTAGTGACGATTGCTATGCGTCTTGTATTGTAGCTTGCTGAGACCATCTATGATGTCTCTTGCAAGAAACAAAGAACTATGGTTGCTTGTAAAATTGCCCAATAAATGTGCAGGAAATTGCTGGGCTTTCTCTGCAGTAAGCACAGTACCTGGTGAGATGGTGACATTGTCTGAGCAGGGTTTGTGAAAACAAAAGGAAAAAACCTGCATTATACTGCATGACCTTGAGTTGTTTGGCTTTATAGGGAAAATGAGAAAAGAGCTGCATGATCTGTGAAGATTTGCATGTGAGAATTATACCAAATTCTCTTAATTCGTAGTAGTATGGCTTTGGACAACTGATATTAGTGGGATTCTAAATTTGTTGCCTGGATCTTCTGCGGGCAATTTTTGTCCATAGAAATTGTTGGGCTACTGATATCAAGGTGTGAGACAAGGGAAGATACATACGTAGATGGTAATTGTCAGAATAGGAATGAATCGATATTGGAATATGAATGAATTGAAATACTTGTTGTCCGTAGCAACGCACGGGCCAATACCTAGTTAAGAAGGAAAGTAAAAGAAGAAAAAACACGACAAGAATAGTCTAACTCGGTAACTGTAGCCCTTGCGGCCACGTAGCATGTATTTTCTAGGGATTTGCGACACACACGTAACGTAACTATGTGATCCAAATTTTGATTAATGTCTATAAGTACTCAAATGAAATGCATTCGACGAACTCTATGCATCTATGGCCTCCAACTCCAATCATCCATATGAGCTACAGATCAAAAAGTCAACTTTTGGACTCTTTTTAAATTGCCCGGTCAACCTTTAATAAAAGCCATTGGGTCTATTTTGTTTTATAATAGAGATGGGATGAGGTTTAGAAATGGTTGAATAAATACCAACATATGATTTTGAGTTAAAGTAAACCATGAATCTATACTTAAAGTATCCACCTATATGCCACTAAGAAACATGATAGTAACCACATATTGTTATGACAGATAATCTGCAAACCATAAATTTGAGTCTTAAAAATAATAATAACAAACAGGTTTAATCTCAAATATTTCACAAAGACTTTATCTTAAATCAAAGATATTGTACAATGAGTACCAATTTTTTTTCTAAAAATGTTATCTATCTGTTGGGGGTTCTATTTGGAGTTATCTGAATCATATTTTCGTTCATGTTCTTAGTGTTCCAACACAAGCAATAAAACATTAGAAACAGAAACAAATAAGTTCCAAATAAATTTAAATAGATCATCAACAAATAGCTCATATTTTTCTAAAATACTTGTTTCTTAATTATCTGATTTAGAAAAAAAATTAGTTATGATCTAGATATTAAATCACCTTTGAAAACAACTAGATGACAAAATTTGCTCGGTAACAGTTAGAAGTCGTACAGGACGATGTTCCGTAGTTTGGTACTTTATTCATTTTAACCATTGGAGGGCTTCTAGTATCTGTGTATTCCATCAATTTTCTAGGACAGTTTCACGTAATCTTGATAAAATTCTTGTTCTCTGATTACGTTTCTGAAATGTGTATTTCATCGGTTTATTTCACATTTGTCACATGTTATTAGCTAGCCACAGTAGTTCAGCCTGCGGAAGCCTGCAAGCTTGCAATTAACACATGTGATCCATGCTTGTAAAGTGCGCTATTTTACAATAGTTCAGGTTGTACAAGTTCTAACAAAGTGTGCTTAGCTTGTTCTTGCATTGGAGGGAGCCAGTGACGATGTACGGGAGATATAAAGGATGATGTCTTGTAGTACAATAACGTTACAACTACAAGCTTTCTGTTGGGGATTCCTTGTTCGTTTGTGTGTTGGGCAAGAGATGCTCCTCCTCTTGTGGAAGCAAGAGTAGTGCATTTCCAATGTGGCCAAGTACCACCGCATGAAATAAAAGAAACTAAACAAATTGAAGGCCAATAGGTTCCAACAAGCTAATAAGCAAGCAAATAAGCCAGTAGGAGCTATATATACCAATTTCCTCTCATGTTTATATATATTACCTCATTCTTCAGCTCCGGGCATGGTTCACAAGGTGGGCAAATTGTTTGTTATATGATGTGCATAGTTCTGAAAATAGATCGATCACCAACAAATAGATAACAATTTTTTGAAAAAATGTACTTGTTTCTTGATTATCTGATTTGAAATAATTTAGTTATGATTTTGGATACTAAACCATCTTTGAAAACAGCTAGAGTCCTAAATTTGTCAATTTTAACAGTTGGAGGGGAGTCCAGCATCCAATTTCGTAATTTAGTACTTTATACCTATTTTAACACTTGAAGGGCGTCCATCGGTTTGCTTCACATTTGTCACGTGAATTAGCCACAATCTGTAAGTGAGTGCACCAAATTCTCTTTGGGTTTCAGGACTTCTTACGGACTCTTGTGAACAAGAAGAAAAGATGTTCAAGAAGAACCCAACTACATACGCACGTGAAAATGCATTATATTGGTGCTGCCCATGCTGATCAGAGCTGAAGGTGTTTCTAGCAGCACGCGTACGAATACCTGAACAGTCGCAAAATTCTCTCGGGGTCACAGGAACAGCAGCAAACACCAAATCAAAAAAAGCTTTGCATCACTCCAGCACGCTGCGGCCGGGAAAGGACAGAGCCAAAGATACCGACCGATTGATGTGGAGTGCAGGATAACGTTTGGTCATGCAAGCAAGAACGCGGCTGAAACCGCCTAATCCTGAGGCTATGCTGCTTGCATATATAAGGCCTGGAGCCCTCCATTCTAAGCCAAGCAAAGCAGCAGGAGATACTCCAGTACAGCTCTGCACTACTACTTGCTCCGTGAAGAACCAAGATTATCTCCATTCAAAGATAGATACATATGGCGGCTGTGCGCGCTCAGAAGGCCCAGGACATTGAAGAGGAGTACAACAGCACACTGCGCTCACAATCCAAGGAGATGGAAGCTCTTCTTGAGACTCAGGAGATCATCATCTCTCCAGTGCTTCATAACATGATGGTGCACCGAAGAACATCTTCAGAGATTGAGCTCGCAATAGCAAATTACTTCGACGCTACCACGGAGGCCCGAGAGATGTGCAGGCAGCTCCTGCAGAATATCAAAGACGCCCAAAGCAACTACCAATCCATGGACAGCTTCCTCGCTAGCATCTCAGCTTCCCATGCACTTGACTTCTCTTTCACAAGCAACAACCCTTTCTGCACCACAACACGAAGCAACTTGAGGCCGATCCACGACAAGTACTCCTGCATACTTCAGAGCATCAGGTCGAGCCACAGGAGAGTAGGGAGGAAGCTCAAGATGGTGAAGGCCGTCAAGAAGCTCTCGCGTGCCTTGGTCGTCATGGCTAAGGATGAAAACGGACGGAATCGAACGGAGAACTCCTCAACCGTTTTCTACTTTTACATTTGAATACGAAAACGAAAACGAAAGCGGACAAACCGAACACGAAAACGAACACGAACTTACGGAATATCGAGAATTTCGAAAACGAAACAATTCGAGCGGAATTATATCGAACACGGTCGGTATACGAAAACTCAATACGGAATACCGACCCGTAGACCAAGTGCATGACTAAGTGCATACATGATCAAGTTCAAGTGCATATAATAATTAACAAGTGCATATTATAGAAACATGAACTCGAACTGAGTCAGAATAATTTTATTAATCTTTTTAGAATAGATGTAGTATTTTATTTTAAAGATTTATTCAGATTTTTTTTTGAGTAACAAAGATTTATTCGGCTGATGCAAAAACTATCAAATGATTGACTTTGCAGGTGGGGGTTAAACCGATGAGCTTGATGGGCTATGGCCCAGGTGGGCTTTCGTGTAGATGCTGCCGGTTTCCTGACATTTAGCACCATCTCATGAGGTGAAGAGAGACGAGGCTGAGCGCCGTCTATAAGAGAGGGCAGCTGGCCACCAGTAGAAAGAACACAGCTGCGTGGTGAACAACCTGTAATTGGGCTGTATGACTTGTGCAGTTGGCCAAATTCGGTTTAAACCGAATTTTCAATTCGGAATATTTCAAATTAAAAGTAGAAAAGTAGAAAACGGTCGGAAAAGTGTCTAAACCGTTTTCTACTTTTACATTTGAAATACGAAACATCTGAAATGCGAAAGCGAAAACGGTAAAGTCGGACAAGAAAATGCGAATTCGATCGGATTAAATATAAAAAAACGATGCGGTTCGGTTCGGGATATTTCCGTTCCGTTTTCATCCTTAGTCATGGCGGGCGGAGCGGCTGCTGCGGCTGCCTTCGGCACGGGGGCGCACCTGTTGTTCTTCGGTCTCCTCCTCATCGGGACGGCGACCACGGGGGCTCTCAAGACGTGGCTCGCGGCGAGGGCTAGTACAAAGAAGCCGTCCAGCAAGACGATGTCGTCATTGCTTCAGCTGCAGGAGCAGCTCGACACAGCGGCGAAGGGCACCTACGTCGTTGGCCAGGACCTCGACACTGTCAGCAACCTCGTGGCGCGGCTCTCCGATGCCATCGAGCGGGAGAACGCCATAGCGAGGTGGTGCGCGGAGAGAGCGGACGAGAGGAGCTCAGTGCTAGAGATGGTGAACGAGCTCAGGCGCAGCTGCTCGAGCTCCAAGAGACTCACCGATGAGCTGGAGGAGCACGTGTGCCTGTTCCTTGCCACCATACATAGGGCTAGAAATTTGGTCATCCAAGAGATCTCCAAGAAAGCTTGATATGAAAATAAAAAATTATAAACTTTGCCATCAGATAGTCAAAATATTGTAAACCATGTTGTTTTGGCAATTGGAATCACGGTGTTAATTCTTATCCAGACAACAATTTTAGTTCATCTTTTAAGTCTTTCTCTCGTATATTGATTTGGAAGTTAATTTTTTTCTAAAAATCAAGATTGTCCTGTGGTATCTCTAGCAAGGGGTAATTTTAACAAAGGACAATCTAACTGAGAGGAATTGGAAAGGCGATCAAAAGTGTTATTTCTCTAACTATAACAAAACTATTAAACATCTTTTCTTTGATTGCCATCATGCCAAGATAATCTAGAGATCTGTCTATATAGGTACTGGGTTAACCCCTCTCAGCTATGTGTCCCACATGTTATGGAGTTGGTTATCAAATTTTGTTTTAAAAGAGAAGAAATATAATCTGGGGTAGCCGCATAATGTTGACAAATTTGGAAATGTCACAATGATCTAATCTTTGAAAATTGTAAATATACATCTTTTATGCAGGCCATTTTTAGGTTAATATGCAATGGATGTGGTTTTGGGCACTACTGTAGTGTGATGATGATACAAAGGAGTCTTTCCAATTAGCGAGCAGGAAATTAGAGACCACTATGTTGGAGCTATTCGCCTCTCATGGATGGAAATTTAATAATAGACCCTATCATGCCTAATTTTGGCATTTTATGTTCCCTTGATTTATCAGCAATATCATTGAAACTATGTAATATCATAAACATTATGTGCAGACACGTAGAGGCGGGATTCTCATTCATTTTCTAAAATGTTAATTCTTATTAGACAGCTAGATGCGCTAGATCCCAATGCTCTATTGGTCCCTGGTAAAAAAAACACAGGTCCATTAGGGCCGGTATAGAGCCCTAAAAAATGAGAACTCCTAAAATCATCCTCCTTGTTTGTCATTACCGTTGACTCTCCACTCCGCCCACACGACTCCTCTACCAAGCGAGATCCCTCTCCCGCAATGGATTTCCCTTCGCCCATCAGTTCTTTCCTATCGGTGAGGTCCTCGGTGGCCCTTCTCCTCTCAGCGAATTTCAAGGAAGCTCCTCTCGGAGACCCTACTTGATGATGTGGAAATTCATGTCCCGGCGACATCTTCTCCCGTGAGATCCCGACGCACTACTCTCGTATAGCAAGGTCCCACGATACATAGGTCAAGAAATTTGGTCATCCAAGAGATCTCCAAGAAAGCATGATACGAAATATACTCCCTCCATTCTCAAATATAGACGGTATGTATTAGAACATAGAGAAAATATCATGTATATTTGGTGCACAAAGGATGTATATATTAACTGATGTATACATATGATAGTTTAACACAACCAATTTATTGAAATCAAGCTTCCGGTGCGTACCTGACATCAGTAATATGGATGAATGAGGAGGTAGCCAGTGATGTTGTTGACATATCGAAATGATCTTGTTGGCATAAAGTGAGAGCACCACTCCCTAGCCCAAAGGAAACAAGGAAATGAAATAGTAAAAACAGGATTTACAAGAGTGAAAATGAAATACAATGGTGCCAACTGTCATTTTTGTTAATTTATTGGTCTTGTTTGATATGTAAGTTTGTTGGGCAATTGCAGCAAAACAAACTTAGCACACACCAAAATTCAAATGACATAACATGTGATTTAATTTTATGAGATGTTGAATCGCACAAAGAACGTTTAAAAACACTCTGGGAAGATATACCTGGTGGCAAAAGATAACTTGCGCACAAAAAAAATAGTTGGGAGATGTATTGAATAATGATATTGCATTACTTATCACCAAGAAAGTAGAAGGGCATGCCTTTAATATTAACTAACAGAATCACTCTTCCAGAATCACTACTTCATATCAATGCTTGCCTTATTTTGACAGATAATAAGATCACTGATGAAAAATTGACATTGTAACTTGAAACTGAAATGCGAATAAACAAAACACACATATAGTGCTGATACATTTGATAGCCAGACTAGCCAAGGTATTCATGGCATACATATGGAGACCGAAGGATGTGCATGTTTACCTCATGGCCATTACGTCAAACACCTCCTGTACGCAACTGATGTTGACGTCGATGGCGAAGCTACAGGCAAATGAACCCTGGTGCACTGCTTAAGTAACTTACACAACTTTATTGAAACATATGGTGAAAATAAGGCGTTGAATGGAAAAAAAATACCCTGGTGCCTGTGCACCAGGTAACTTCAACGTTGCTTCGCCCCACGTCGGGTCCAGTCTCCGGTGTTGGAGGTGGGTGCTGCCGGGGCTGCGAATGCTGGTGTAGATGGCCGAGATGCCGTGAACGGTTGTCGGTGCTCCCTTCCGTGGCTTCGCTTGTATTGCCGCCGACAGCAGCACGGCGGACGGCCGTGCCGTTGATGGCGTTGACGCACAAGAGCGTGCACGGCTGCGCCACTGGAGGAAGCATGCACAACTGACGGGAATGTCGTGGTACCGGACAGGGCCTCCATGTGGCCTTGGTGGCGTAGCCAGGGGCGGTCGGCAGGGCAGGACAGGGGCAGGGGCAGGGGCAGGGATGGTGCGGCGGCGGCAGAGGGGACAGGGCACTGCGGGCAACAGGGGTGTGGCAGCGGTGTCGGCGGGGGCAAGGCACAGGCGGGCGGCGGGCGTGGAAGGGGTGTGGCAGCGATGTCGGCGGGGGAGCGGAGCGGCTGATCGCAGGGCGGGGGTTCTGTTTTTCTTTCATGAAAAGAGAGGGTGTGGGCCTGTGGGGCGCATAGGGAACGAACGAAGACTGCGGAATCGACGAGTGGGCTGCGGTGGGCGCACGGATTTCGACTTGCCGGCCCTATTTGTTTGATATATTTTATAAATTATAAGGCGATTTAGTTTTAGATTTAATAGTTTTTACTATGCACCAAAATAGAAGTTATGTCTAGATGCAAAATAAAAACTACCTGCCTAGAAATGCCAAAAGCATTTTATAATTTAGAACGGATAGAGTACTAATTATACATCTCTCATAAGTCATAAGTTAAAAGTCTGAAAGTTTAGAGCATCTCCTAGAGTTCTAATAATTTCTTTCCAAAACCATGAAGTTTTCCAACTCATCAAAAAGTATTCAGGCAACTCGTTCTCTCCATACATGCGATGATGATGTAACACTTAGCATTCAGGCAACAAAAACTCTTAAACTAAGAATACGCATACTAAGCTACTAAGCTAGCTCTAATGACTAAGGTACTAAGCTAACTACCATCTTCATCAAGCAAAGAGTTGGGTTCAACGAACAAACCCTTAGCTTGCACTACCGGAGATGCACTACCGGAGGCGGCTTCTTTGCCGAGTGCCTCAGGCACTCAGCAAAGGCCGATATACACTCGGCAAAGGGCGCTCGGTAAATAGTTTATCGGCAAAGACCTCTTTGACGAGTGCACTTTATTGGGCACTCGGCAAAGACTTTGCCGAGGGCCAATCCGACACTTGGCAAAGAAAAGTGGCCGTGACGGCGAGCGCCACCTTGACGGCGGCTTTGCCGAGTGTCAAGGTCAAGCACTCGGCAACAGTCCCCTCTTTGCCGAGCTCCGTTGACATAGACACCCGGCAAAGGTGGCCACTGTGCCGAGTGTCGCCGGCAAGACACTCGGCAAAGCATGTGATGTTTGCCGAGTGTAATGGCCTTTGCACTCGGCAAAGCATGTTCCCAGGTAGTTCCCAGATAGTCACTTTGCCGAGTGTCATGGCCATTGCACTCGGCAAAGTGACTGAAAACAACCTTTTTCATTTGTTTTTTATATCCCATCCAAACAAACCGAAGATATATATAACAAACATCACCAACATCACATATATATCATCAACAGCACATATATATCACCAACACTACATATATATCACAAACGTCACATATATATCACAAACGTCACAAATAAGTTCACAAGTAATCCAAGTGCTCCATCATCTTCAACCACAATTGCAAATAGAAGTACCATTAACAACCACAAGTATCATCACTGATTTGGTGAAGGATTCGCTCAAGCATGAGGATCGTTCGATGCCGCCGATTGATTCTGCACAAAGGAGAAGAGATTGCATGTGTGAGACAAGATAAATATATACCATACATGAATAAAACTTTCATACTCCACTAGGTTTGACCGTAAGCATGAACATACAAACTAAAACATTTATACTCACAGGAGTAGAATAGTGAGGAGGTGGAGGTGGAGGTGGAGGTGGAGCGAATAGCGAAGGTGGCGAAACTACACCCATAGTGGCGCCAAGACTTTGCATGTACTGAAGAATCTCCTCCATCCTCCGCTGCTCGGCCTCCCGCTCAGCCAAGTCCCTCTCCATCTTCGCCTGCATCTGCTCCTGTATCCTCCTCTCTTGTTCTAGCTGGGCCTACAATATATTCACCCCAATGTTACAATAATGCAAAGGAAAGGTATGAAAAAACCAATGAACGACGAATAAACCAGGAATAACCTCGAGTGCCTCCACTCGGTGGTGCGAAGTGTCCTGCCGAGGTCGTATGGCCAGGCTCATGCTCATGCTGCTTGCTCGAATCTGGGAGAGACTGAGAGTAGCGGCCGAGTCGATTGCGCCATCGCCAATCCAGTACCGCCCATGCTTCTTGCCTCCTCCCACCCTCATGACGACTTCTCCATCAAGGTCCTCATTGCTCGGATCGTACTGTGGCCCATGGACCTCCCTTGCCATCGATGTGTACTCACTGAGGCGGTTGTGGACGGTCGCATTGCTGTACGCCTCGGGCCCGTCCTCTGGGTTGTAGTCGACGTCGGACGTCGCCTTGCCCTTGTGGGCCATAGCAAATGCCTTGAAGATGGAGCAAGCCTGGCCACGATGTGACGCCGACTGCGAGGAAAACAGCAAGATGATTAGAAATCATGCAGAATTGAGCGTTAGAATAAATAAATGAATTCGCGTACCCATGTTTCTGCGTATCCGCTAAGGTTGCGGCTGCCTTGATGGTGTGCTACACCTAG